GAGCCTTCCCTGGCGCCGGGGTGCGCGTTGCATGGTGCGGGGATACACGGTCTCGATAATAAATGATAGAGGATACAATGACTTTGCTGTCTCTGCTGGGTCGGATCATGCGTTACTTCTTGCTTAGACCGGAGACCCTGTTCTTGCTGTGCATCAGCCTGGCCCTGTGGAGTTATTTCTTCCACACGGATGAGGTGAAAACCATTGTTAAGTCCAGCAGGGATGCGGTGAAGATGGTGAAGGGCAAGGTGGCCGAGATCATGCAGAATGACAGGCTCGGGGGGCTAGACGTGCTGGACGCTGAGTTCTCCAAGACCTGGGAGTTCAAGAGCCACAACGTGGCTGTCTACTCCATCCAAGGCCGGAGGGATCACATGGAGGACAGGTTCGAAGTAATCACTGACCTGGTGAACAAGACTCACCCCTCCATCTTCGGGATATTTGATGGGCACGGAGGAGAGGCAAGTGCTCAGCTGGAAAAAAAAAAAAAACCAAAAACCAAACAAAACAAACTAAACCCCCCAAAAAGGGGGGTGGGTGGGGGAGGATGGTTACAGGGCAAGGAATGGACATGTTCTTGCCCACCAGGTTTGTGCGGTTATCTTGAGACATTGTTGGGGGGGTGTTCCTCGGTTCTTGGGGGGAGGGGGGGGAGTCTCTAAATAGGGATTGAGAGATACTCCATTCTTTTATCTGTCATTGCCCCTTCCACGATCTGTGTGGTACAAATGTGTTTATACCCCTTCTGCCGTTTACAGTAGTAAAGGTTTAATTGAAGTAAAATCCGTTGGAGGTGGCTCTTACGTGCGGGGAATAACGATGATGAGCACAAACTCCCTGGAGGCATCTTTTGTTACAGCGAAGTGTGGTGTGATCTGATTTTGGCACGGGGCTGGTCTCCCCCTCCTGTCAGGAGCTGTGCTCATCGGCAGTGGTTAGAGAGGAGTCCTCTTAAAGGCAAGCGTGTGTGCAGCCTTAAATCTGGTGTGGATAAAATGTGTCTTCGCAGTAATTCACGCTCAAGCGAGGACTAGCGAGTCACTGAGAATCAGTATCGTGTTTGTGAATTGCATGTAGTTTTTAAGTCATTACAACTGTGCTGTCATACTTGTCTCCTCCCTAGTGGAAAGCCAGGAAAACTGTCATTTTGAAACTTTCTGGTGTTTAACCTCTTAACTTTTTTAGGCGGGTTATTTCCTTTAGGTTGTGCAATGTAATTAGTATTACAGTTTGATGGGGTGCTTCACTTATTACAGATGCAAATGTTGAAACTATAGCTTCCTCTTCCTTTAGGTTTGTGGTGCTGCCACATAGCTTTTCGTGTAGCACAAAGCACATGTTTCATAACTGTGGAAAAGGACAAAGAGTTTGTCCTTGTCTGACAAATTAGCTCTAGTCAACCATTATGCTGGGTATGATGCTTACGGGTTTTGCTGGGATGATGGAAGCTGGAGAGAAATGTTGAAGTTTTTCATGTAAGGTCTCCTGCTGAGGAGGGGTATGGCAGCAAGAGAGCCTGGGTGTTCCCCCAGCTGCTTTCACGGATCAAGTAGTCAAAGTCCATCCTAGAAAAGCATTGGCAGTGACCAGGCACTGATGGAGCACAAGGGTGGCAGCTGCTGCCCCTCTAAACCTGTAAGTGCTGCCTGAAAAACCCAGGCCTCGGGCACATAGTCAAAAAGCTGCTCTTCTGCTGCCTGCACAGTTGTGAAGGGAGTCGGTTGCCCGTGCTACTGCTGTCTCGCGGTGTCTAGCGTTTCGCCGCCTTTAAAATAATGCAAATAGTTTGGATACTGGAAATTGTCAACTTCATAAAAAATTCTGGTCGTGATTGAACCCTGTTTTCCTTTTTATGTCTGAATTAAATTGGGGCACAGCTGTGCCAGCTCTTACTCGCATACTTGTGCCAGTTCACTATCCCTTGGCCTTCGAGGAATACAGATAGAAATGTATATGTATCGCAAACTGGTACACATCTTCTGAAGGGATATTAGCTCTGATCACTGTATTTGGTACATCTCTTGTTTTCTAGGGCTTTGGACAGAAGGTGCCTGTGGTCTGTCTTTTGCCTTCTTCCCCTTTGTTTAAACTGACAGTTTTCCTTGTCTGAACTGATCAGCCAAAACAAGTTTGCAGGAATATCTGTGTCATGTTTTTAAACAGTATTCTGAGATTGTTATGGATGGAGTTATGATATACACGCTTAGACTTTGGCATGGTGAAAGGGGGATCTTATTTCTTTCTTTAATTTTGTATCATATATGTATCTTGCCCTACACTTGATTGCAAACTCAGCATATTAAATAATCCATAACTAACACAGAGAATAGCTAAATTACAAGAATGTACCTTTTTTTTTTTTTCTCGTTTGCTTGTTTTGTTGTGGATCTTGGAATTAAATCCATAAGATATTAATGGAGTTCCACTGGATCTGTGGAAAGATCATTTGTCTTTTGTATTCTGATTCCTCAGAACTTGCTCTAATTGATTCAGTGACAAAGTACGAGGCTTTTATATGAGGCCTGTCATTTTGAAAGGTTTAGCACATCTCTCTCCAAATCTTACTAAAGTTAATCTTTTTAAAAATTATGTATTTAGTATCTCTTATTTGGCTTTCTAATGAAATCACCAGATGTTCTTAGTGGCCTTTACTCCTACAAAAATAGGTGCCTAATCATTGAGAACATAACTTGTTTCTAGCTTTAGGTTTTATGTACAACTGATGAGAAGAGCATGAACTGTGTGCTGTGTGTAGAGCAAAAAATAAATTATGAAAAATAGGTTTTAATCTAAGCAGGTTTTGTAGTTTCGAGTAGAAAAGAGGGGAGGGAAAAGAAATAGCAAAAATTAATGCTCTTATTTAATCTGAAGTACATAATACTAAATTTCAGGCCCCTATTTGAACTGGGTGTCTTATTTTATTTTTATTTTTTAAAAAAGATAAATGACTGTGGAGCACTTTACATACATAGGTAGCAAAGCCTTTGTAAAGATTACATTTTCCATATAGGCTCCCATTAAATTTCTTTGTGTATTTAAAGAACAAGGAACTGCTAATCTCTGTAGTTACATGTGAAACAAACTGTTCTATATGGGGAAAAACTCTTTTCCCAAACAGACAATACCACAAATGAGATGCTAGGTTTATTCTTTCCAGCTATATACAAGGGAGCGTGTCTCCATTAATGACTTCCTGCCATATCATGTTGAAGTGGAAGGATAGAGAAGTGTGATTCAAGTAATATGAATTACTGTGTAATGCTAATTTATGCAGATTTCTGGGTTTTGCTTAACTCTTGCCAACATTTTGCATAAATTCTACTTTTCTATTATGTCATTTCCTCTTCCATCTTACAATTTTAGCCTGAATAGGTTGGCAACCACTTACTTAAATTTTGTGGCTGGCTTGATGAGAAAGCAATGTGCAAAAATAATTATTAATGCTCCGTGTTACAACTGAGAATCTGGTGTGCTGCTGCAATTACTTGTTTAAGGCAATAATATTTTAGAGATAAAGCTCGGTACGTGGTGTGTAGTGCGGTCTTCCTTTTATGAAAAGTTAGTTTGTTTCTTGAGGATCGAATAATAATAATAGTAACACAGAAAAAAGTATTTGTTCTGCCATCAGCTTCTTTATAAAGCTTAAAGATGGCTTGGCTGCCCCCCCCCCCCCCCTTTTTTTTTTTCCCCTCTCTCTTCTCCCATTTTCCTTTTTTTAGAGTTTTGGGGGCTGTCTAGGCTGGAAGATTGAGAAGTGGCAAACTACGTAAAGTATAAAATAACAAACAATAAGCTTGAAAGCTGAGCAAAGGAAAGGATGGATGCTTAATCAGAATTATTTACCTGTTTTAGCTAGCATTTACTAAAAGGTTCTTTTCTCAAATATTTAAGGTTTAAGCATTCAGTTTAATGAGATCTCGGTGTTAGACAAGAACAAAGTAGCTCAGCTACCATCTGCAGTTTTATGGTTATGGCTATGTCGCATATCATTGTTTTTTCCTAACCCTATGAGGTGAAGACTTTAAAAATAATGATAGTAATAGATAGTACCTTATATCCTGCGTGTGCTTGTTTGCAGTCGTAAACCGATGTGGATAATGGCGGTGACAAATTAAAAGCTCAGTAACTGTCTCATAAAAAATGTCTTGCTCTTCTTATTTCTCTTAGCCTTCTTAAATAGGAACATGGCAAAGCTCGTTCCTTATGATCTATAGGTGTGGATAAGAGCATTTACCTGATATAATTGTTTTTTAGAGTTGCTGATATAGTGTTGCAGTATGTAAAATACACGTTTTTATTTTTATTTGTAGTGTAGGGA